CGGCCACGGTCTGCCGGCTCCCGGCCCCCTGGGGTCAAAATTAAACAGGAAAAAAAGAAAACGTTGTGTTTTTATCCACACGGTCCCGCAAAGCCCGAGTCGGCGGCCACACGAGGGTCCCCGGCGCGGGGTTTGCCTTACATGTTAATTCCAGGCATGCCGGGACCTAGGGAGTTGGGTGGAGGTCTCATGCCGCTGCCGTAGTTCTGCAACGATAATGAAGGGTCAGTCTCCCGTAGCGGGAAGGGAAACCAGAGGAGGCAAGAGAAGGGGAAAAAAACCCCAACAAACAGGAGGGTCAGTTTGCAAAATGAGCTTGAAAACAAAATGTTAGATGATGGTGAACATAGAGGCAATTAGCAATTGTGTTTATAATAAAACCCAGGCAGCTGAATACGGAAGGGAGCCAGGCTGAGCCCCAAAGCCACTGCTGCAGCGTAAGGACGGGAAAAGGCTGCACTGGCTTCCCCGAGATGGAGCATCCCCTGCTCCCAGGATGATGGCTGGAAAATGGAAAACGAGCCAGGCTTGTTTTCCCAGCGCTTCCCAGCTCCCTGCTGCATCCCGCGGCGAGGGTCTGCAGCGCGCAGGGCGGGTGAGGGCAGGCAGCCCCTTGGGGCTCCTCTCCCGGCTTATTCCCCCCCGGCTTAGCCTCCAGCCGGGACCGGGAGCCTCAGATCTGCATCCCTCACCTCCTCAAACCAGCTCCAGTACAAAGCCAAGCTGAAGGCAGCGAAGAAAGAGGAATCCCCCGAATGCCGCGCTCCATTTGGTCCGCGCTTCGCTGCCTGCGCCCTCCGGGCGACGCGCAGCCGGATTTAGGTCACGCCGCCGCTCCTCCCCTCCCACCTTCCCCCCCGCGACGCATCTTTTTGGGCTGGATTTCTGCCGTTTCTAGAGAAAAAATTGCTAGGGCAGGAGGGGGGATGGTGGGCCGCTTCCTATTTTGCAGCCCCTCAGAGTGGTCCAAGCTGGATTTGAGGCGCAATACTTCGGTGCCGTCGATTCTTCCCTGGATTTACGGATGCAGAGAGCAGGGTGCTCTGCTGAGGGCACTGCCAAAGTTTGTTTTCAAGAGGCAGAAAAGGCTTTTCCCCAAACAAATTACTGGCAAGTCCTTAACTGATCGAAATTCCAGCCATTTACACTGAATAGCAGCATCAAACCCCTTGTTTAAAAAAAAGATAAAAAAGAAAAAAAAGAAAAAAAGGAAAAAAAAGAAAAAAAGAAAAAAGAAAAGGAAAAAAAGAAAAAAAAAGAAAAACAGAAAGAAAAAGCAGCTCAGAGTTTTTAATTAGAGCTGAAAGGCTGGAAAACGAGAAGCCATCTGAAAGCTGCTCAGGGAGGGTGGGGAGGGAACGCAGCTGTGCCGAGCGACCTGGATGCCAGGCTCCGGCAAGACGCCGTCAAAACCCAACGGCTACAAACCCTCCTCACAGAGGCACCGGCAAACCTAAGCCCGGCTTCTGCAGAGCTAAAATGGCAACTATTACAGGAAAAAAGGCAGCGGCGATCGGCTGTAAGGGATGATCCATCATCGGTGCGTGATAGGTAGCCGCTGTCAGGATGCCGGGATGCCCCGGCTGGATGCTCTGCACCCCTCTGG